CCTAAGTGTACCAACCTGAGACTAAGTGTATCAACATGAATTGATATAGTTGATGAACATGTTCTGTTATTCAATCAAAGCAGCTTTTAAATGTGATTGGATATACCTTTCCAGCAAAATGAAGTTCTTTCATGTCAAGAATTGAATAAGATTGAAACAGGTAGACCTTGATAATTGTCTACTACATGAGGGTTTATATGTGTAGGTATGTTTTTGAATGTCATCCGAAACCTGGAGGTGGAAGGGACATTGTCTACTTCATGAATTAAATTGGATTTCATCTTATTTAAGTGCTGCATATATATTTATCCACAACAAAGAGATTATTGTTTACCAGTTATTTATTGGAAGTTGGCAACTTTGGCCTTTATGTGTTTTTCAGGTTTTGTTAAGAAGGAAAATCAATGCCAAGAATCATTACTGGTGGACCTATCTTTTCTTGATTTATTATATGTTGAATGATTGAGTTGGATCTATTACAATTATCTATTGATTGAATACCTTTAGCTTTTTGCCAGGTTCTGTGTCAAAACTGATTTTAATTTGTAGCTATGGTACATTTGCTACTTGAGGTTGTGATGGTTATGTCTATGTGTGGGATGGAAGCAATAAAAAAAGCTGTATCAATTATTTTTCCTTAACTGAATTTGAAATGTCTTCCGCTCCATGATGACAATGTTCACTCTTGTTCAATGTACAGTGCTCAAAATGCCTAATAAGCATCGCAGTCTTGTCATTCAGCAGAGAAACCATAGATAGTGTGTACAAACTAGGAATTCATTGGTTATTTATATCCTGTAAATTTCTTTTTTCAGAGAAAAAAAAATTAATTAAATTTTTCAAAAAAAATTAATGGTCCCTCTATCCACTTTGATAACAAAATTAATTAATTTTTCCTAAATTGTTGGGTTGCAATCACTTGTTTGTGCCAAGTTCTAAATAATTATATAGTGTGTGTACAGACTAGGAATTCATTGGCTAAGCAGTAGGAATTCACTGGCTAAATTTATACTCTATGATTTACATTGTAGGTTCAACAAGCCTTTGCAGACTTGGAGAGGTGATTTTCCATTTGAAAAGATTGTCTATCCTTAGTTCCAGCTTTATTTTATTATTGCTAACTGTTAACTAAAATTTTCATTTGATTTTTTTTGGGTTTCCAATGGCTTCCTTGAAGATCTGTAATTTATCTTCCTTCATTCTTGGCTATTATTCCTTTCCTTGCATGCTGCTTATTAATTTTTTTCTGTGCTGCCTTTGAACTTTGGATGGTATAAAAATTGCTGAAAGGCTTTCTTTTGAGGAATGTTTGTTTGGCTAAATAATATATTGTTGCTGGGAATTGGCCAGAACTGTCAAATGAATTTCTTTTTAACATTTTCTTCTACAAATATTCTTGATGAGAGCTAAAAAGTTTGTCAGCTCGAAACTAACTGATCTTTCAGCAAAGTAGTTGTTTTAGTATGCACGATTAGGATTGATCATTAGATATTAGCAAAAGTAACTTATTTGATGCAGTACTGATAGGTCAAATCCTTGCATGTGTTATTATATGTAAAACATCTAACAATCGAAGCATATTTGTTTTGCTGCCTAAGATATACGGTCATGTTGACATCTTGCATAGCACGTATTCAGGTTGAGTTATTGGGTCAAATGAATGTTTAAGTTTCACAGTTTGAGGTACCTCCTCTTATATGCTCTGACCCAAGGGCTAATCATGATATTTTATCTATTTACCTGCAGGGGCCGTGGATATCTTGTTCCAGACGATGTCTACAAGGTTATAGTACTGTTTACTATGATTGTTAGGTGTAAGTTTCACAATACAATTGGATAAATGTTTGAGTTCTGGTGATATTCTTTTATTTACTCATGAGGTGATCTGAACTGCACCCCCCCCCAAAAAAAGTTAATTAAGATGGAGATTGAGCAAACTTCATGTATGTTACCTTCTATTTTATATACAATCTCCAGTTTCTCTTAGAATGGTGAAGATTTATATGCATATAGCAAACCTGTTACCTTTGAAGTACTCTGATGCTCAACTGATTTGTGTTTTTTAATGATCTGAACAGTGTGTGTTTCGATGATTTGACACTCAACCGATTTGTGTCTTAATGATCTCACACTTTGACACTCAACTGATTTGACATGTTATCTAAATCTCCAGTTTCTGAACACTTATCATGATCTGTGTTTTAATGATCTGAGGGTTCGGAGCCAACTTGCATTTGATGTGCTCTGACTAATTTTTACCTAGAGTTTACTTGTGCTTTATGGGCTCTGCCTAATTTTTCCCTTTTCAATTGTAATTTGTAGAGTTTTGATCAGAAGAGGAGTGGAAGATTCAGACTGGATGGCTTCATATCACTCTGTATATTTGTACAGTCTGCGCGGTAGGTGGAATCTTAATTTCTTATACGGTGTATTTTGATTGACCAATTAGAGTTATTAGCTTCATGAAAATGTCAGAAAAGTACCTTGCTGAAGGTATTAAAAAATGTTGTGCTCATAAATCATTTATCATTGATGTAGTCAGTTGCTTGTAAATCCCTTGCTTACTTTAAGCTGTGAGGGCTGGATTCCGAAATTTGTATCTGTTTGTGAACTTCTTTAGAGACCATTAGACTATGAATCTAGGCTGTTTTTCTTTCTTATTTCTGATTATTTGATTGTCTAAACCAGCAAAACCTATCCATTCACTATATACAGTGTGTACAGACTAGGAATTCATTGGTTATTTCTTTTTGTTTCAGGTTTTGACAAATGCTGTTTTATATCCTGTAAATGATGTTCTTCTGCGTTTGGTTCTTTCTGCAAGATGTTACTTTTACTTCGGTGTGTTGTGTACCAAGGCATCTTTATAAGTTACTTGTGTAAGGGCTGTTTTAAATGATTACACTTATTCTTCTTGAATGATTTTGAATGCTTTTGACTGAATAAATAATGTGTACAGACTAGGAATTCATTGGTTATTTGTGCTTATGCATTTTATGATTATGTTTCTGATTTTTTTGCTGCAGAATGCTGAACTGAGTGCTCATGTGGCTAAGCAGTAAAGAGGAAGGAATCTACTGTCCCGTGTTAGGCATGCATGTCGTTGGATTATGAGTACAGTTTCGTTGGATATTTTTTAGTTAATGTGTATTATGTAATTATAGTTGTTGGAGGACTCAAGCACAGAAATTATGTAATAGCTAGGTTGTTACTATTGTTTATCGCTTCAAGCTTTGATAATGGACTTATCAAGCTTTAATAATGAATGTACTTCGGTTACCTTAGTTTGATGTTAAGCTTTGATAGTAGATGTTTGAACGGAATGTACTTATTAGCTTTTGATGTTTAGCAATAAAGTTCATGCTAACTTTGGTTACAAAAAAACACGCGGCTGCTTTTTATCCATTTTGACTACAGGCCTGAATAGCATTTTGATTAGTTCATAACTTTGGTTACATCAGAAGCCACGGGTGATGAATCTAAAAAGATATAGCACCAACTTACAAAGCTTCAACCTGCAAGTTATTAGGTTTTCTGAAAATGTAGAGAATACCTCGCTTTATAGTTTGTGATTTTACTATCCAGTGCAGCAGCCAGGTACATTATCATCATCGTTGCCAAATTCATGTAATGCAATGGATTTGAAGTCTTTGCATTGCCTTGAAGTTTAATGGACTTTTGGATTATCAACCTTAATCTATATAGCTCAATGATATTTTTCTCTCTGTCAACTGCCATGCATATTCATACTGATGTACAAAAAAAAAAAAAAAAAAAAAAGAACTTGCATGCAATGTTCGGATAAAAGAAAAATGCCGAGCCAAAAGTCAATTACTTCCTTAATTTCGCAATATTTGGCAGGGCTTATTATCTTTAGTCGCCTGACGGCATCGCCGGAGTTTATACCATACCTAGTTCCTATAAACGTATGATGAGCCGTCTCCCAACAATGGGAGTATGCCTTCCAGAATTGCTTTGCATGCTGGCAAAAAAACAACAATGTGGTATCCAACCATTGGGTTTCAATCCGTTATTGATCATGCTTTCTCATGCACGGACACGACACTATCTTGATTGTAGATTATACAATAGGTTTTTGTTCCAAAATAAGAAAAAAAATTATTGGCCAGATGTGTGTTTGCGATTGGGGGAACTCACCATCTCCACAATTTTTGTTTTTTAGATAAATAAAGTGACGGTAAAATCGAGTTTTCGTCCACCACTCATATCACGAATATCTTTTGAATCATAATACATGTCTATCAACCACAGTTTTCTCGCTATTGAAAAATGATCCAGTTCCCTTATCATTCATTCAACTTATGTTTAATATTCCTCCCATCATTCATTTTAACTTTTCCTCGGCCCAAATGATCTCGGAAATTATTAGTCGCTTGTCCATCAGCACAGTTTTCTACATCAGAAAACAGATTCAGGATACGAATCCACTATTCATTTTTATCGTGAGAATTGATTCCAGTTTACGATTAATTCAACTTCTTCTGGCATTCCCAAGCTCTCACCATGGGCATTTGAGCTTTGCAACCGATACATGAGTCGATTGGTGAGGTACCTGTGGGTACGTAATCTATTACATTCGGACAATCCAAAAGTTGGTATGCTCACAACACAATCTTGGACATTTTCATCCCATCCTGAATTTTACTTGAGCGAGAGCCGGAAAACAAAAATTCAAAAACAAGAAAGACACTAGGCAAGAATTCCAGCACGTTTCTTCGTCTTTTCTGTCCATTCTACCCCGTTCCATCCTTTTCATGGCCTCCTTTGATTTGTATTGGGATGCGTGACGGTTGGTGACCCAGTTGACGGGTGTCGTGGCTCTGAAAGATTAACAAACTGAGGCGGAAATATGCTGACAGATTGGACTGTACAAATTACATTTTTCAGCGGTCGAGAATCAAGCAGCAAGTGAGGCTTCCTGGAAAATAGTTGCGCTATACCATCTGCATTTGTGTGTGTGCTTTACGATAAATTGGGGAATGGCAAGAACTTGCTATATAGTTACCTCAAATTGATGATACCGATGGAGAAATTATAAACTTGCAAGAATACAAATTCAAAAGCTCCTAGGGAAACTTTTTTTTTTTCTTTTCCTATCTGCGAAACAATTGGAGCGGGCGTCAGTCTCAGTGCTGCATGCAAATGGTGATGACTGGTTGAGACATAAGAAATTGTCTGGGAGAGAAAAAGAAGGTTAAAATCGGGGAAGGAAAAATAATTAAATGTAAAATCATTCCTTATTAATCTCAATACAAACAACTGCAAGTTTTGGTAAATCCATTGTGGATCGTACGAGATTTTTATTGTCATTGAACTTGGACATTTGTTCATTCTGATGCATGTGAATGCAAACGGTTGGTTTAGATATAGGTTAGCATTGATGCATCTATGCTTGCGATTTCGACGGTAAAGATGCCACTGCCCTCATATTTCCCCTGGAATAAGGCTTGGATAGACTTCAGGTGATGCGACGCGCGCGTTCACTTCTGTTCTTCCAAAATAAACGGATACATTGCCAAAGTTCATCAGATAGTAAGAAGGATTCGCCTTTCGTTCTTACATCGCGAGTTTAGATGCATAACAACAAATTTCAATTTAAATTTGAAGTTTAAGTTTTAAATATTTAATATATGTATATATATATATATATATATATACATATAAACTTGTTAGTATATATAATGTCAGTGTAGAAAAAAACTAAATCTAGTAACAAGTAGAAAAAACAATTGCTCATATATGGAAGAGATTTTGCTCTAATAGTTAAAATTGAAACTTCATGATCTAGAAGTCCTAGTTTCAGATTCTCTTTTCCCTGTCCGGTTCTTAAATCTCGCTCATTTCTTACTAAAAAAATTAAAGAAAAAGATAAATAATTGCTCACAATAAAGGTATAAATTAATCTTTATTACATTGTTACAATAAGCCTTTTTTTTTTATATGTACTAGAGATATAGGTGTAGGTTATATGTAAAATGAAAGAATTGTAAATTTGAATGAAAATGAAGTGTCATTCATCTAAATCTATTAGTGAAAAAAATTATGTGTAGTAAAATTTCATTCTAAAAAGATTACTAAAATAAAGGTACTTCTCTCACAATCTATTGTTAAGGTTAGAACTTAGAACTCTTATAAAGGGATAATTTGAGAAACCTCCTGTGAGGTTTTTGACTATTTCATTTAACTTTCTCAAAGTTTTAAAAATGACACTTACCTTTTTTGATTGGACATTTTTGGTAACCAAACATTAAAATAGGATCGAAAATTCAATGAATACCCTAAAATGCCCTTATTTTATAAAGCTTATTTTATTCTTCTGAACAATTATAAAGTATTTTGGCACAATTACAAATGGAATGAGTGTCAAAATTTTTATGCCAATATTTATTGTTTGATAATTAACTATAATAATAAATCTGTCACTACAATCGGCTACTTTTCATAGTGTTTTATTGAGAATATGGATTCTTTTTGAGATAGAGAAGAAAATGTCTTTTTTTTTTAAAGTTTGTGGACTATTTCAATGATAGAATTACCATAGTTTGATAGTGATTTTATGCCTTTGTTTTTCAGTTATTGTTGATTTATTCTTGATTTTGATACAAAAAAAAAGAGTTCAAAAAATTGGATGATATTAAAAGTTTTTTAAAAAAAATGTTACTACTTTGATGTTTGATCAACATAGAGGTTGAGGATAACATTGATAGTTTTTTGGATTGTCTGATAAATTATAAGAGAAATGAATAAGAATGAGAAAGGAAAAAAAATTATAAAACCCATCCTTTGTATAATGCAAACAATGGAATTTCCCTATAATGTTAAGGCTTGTATTATCATTTTAAATGGCTAAGAGAGGTAAATGTAATTTTTAAAATCTCAAACATACTAAATGAAATCATTAGAAATCTCAAGAGAGGTTTCTGAAATTATCCAATAGATATTGTGTTTGTTTGCGTAGTAAAAGCATCACAGTCATTACCTTTGTAGTAACTATGAAGATTGGAAGTGTAACAAGGTGATTAGTGATCTAGACCATGGTAGAAGAAGCCAGTCAGCTACAGCAAACAAACTGAAGAAAAGAGTGAAGTGAAACGAGCTGGCACATCGCTATCAAAAGCTTTAATCCATTGTCGGTGCTAAGCGGCAAAGTTAAGTATCAGAGGATGAAGAAAAGGGTGAAGTGAAAGGAATGAAGATTAAAGACTTTTCGCCGACGGAAGTCAGTCGCCCACCTTCGTCGTAGCTTTTGTGTCACCTTTGCGCATCATCTCTTAAGTTAAATGCTTACTGGTACATTTTGGCTTGCAGTTTGGAATTATAACCAGGCTAAAGCATTAGAAGATAAATAACCTAACAATTGTACTCGTAGCAATGAACTTCTATTAGTTGATGTATATAAAGGTATATTAATGGATCGTTGGATAATCCTAAATCATCAATCACATTTTATGTCGCAAAAGTGTCTTGGATGCAATTTTCTCTACAAAACAGAATTTTTCCGTTTCTCTACGAGCACATTTTCTAATCGCTTCTAACCTGTATAGAATATCAATCGTTTACAGGTATATTACCCAACAAAAAAACTTCAAACAAGAATAGCAATCCAAATCAAGAATTGTCAATTGGGTTCATGATATACTGTAACTTGATGTTATATATATTATATTTTGACATAAAGTCTGATAAGCTAGGAGAGGGTTTGACGATTCATTAAGGCAAATTTCTTACGAATAATTAGATACTCACAATATGGTTCGCTGTCGAGTGTTTGGAAGGGAGATTATTTGAAATATTATTCAAAATAATTACTATAATACTTTTTATGATGTAATGCATGTGAGATAAAATAGTTGATGGGAAGATAAAAAGTTGATTGAAAATTATAATTGTGATGCTAGTAATATTTAAGAAAATTTTTCCAACCAAACTTGAATAATATTTTGAAAGTCCACACACACACACACACATATATATACATATATATATGTATATATATGTGTGTGTATACAATGATGGAGCCAAGGGGAGACAGAGGGGGGCCATGGCCCCCCCTAAGTTTTGAAAATTTTAATTCATAATATGTAAATATGTGTGTAAAATAAAATTGGCCCCCCCTAAATTTTTACAATTTTAGTTTATATTATGAGAGTTGAGATATATATATATATATATATATATATATATATATATGAATTAGTCATCTTTGAATTAATTTTTTCTTCAAAAAAAGTTGTTTATTTTTTATTGTACTAATTATTTAACTTTCAAAAATTAAACATATAATTTGATGTTCCATAGTAAATTGACCCAATGTGATGTATTAGAATAAAAAGACCCAATTCATAATTTTTAAAA